CAGACTGTGTTAGGCAAGGCAATTACATTTTAGAATCATGTTGGGTCAAAGATCTCATTTGGATCTGGATGAAAGGAGTAGTAAATGGTGTCTAGGCCTATGGTGAGTTTTTAAAGGAATCTTTGGATGCTGTCGTTGTTATCTTTCATTTTGGTGCCTGAAGTCCTCCATTTACAAAAGCAGATGTATAAACGGATTACGCACAAAGTTAAACTTTTGAAAAACGATTGTTCGTCTTCACAGGAAGTTAGGTTTAGGCAACAAAACCACTTAGTTAGGTTTAGGAGAAGAGCATGCTGACGGTAACTTGACTGACTAACTAATCACATCACTACCAAGTGACAAACAAGTCACGTAACTAACGTGTGACAAAGCGACATCGTTTACTTTTAGTTTCGTATAGGAAATGAACAACTGCCTCCTGGACAAATGCCTGTGTGTTGGATTGATGTATCCTCCTCCCCTTTCACCCACCTTGAGTGGACTATGTCACTCTTTATACTACTCAGTTGGTTTCGCCAATAATGATACAGGTGTGTTTTATATTGGAGTTAGTTTTGTGCCCGGTGCATCGGTATCAAACGCAGAGGGGCACTTACCGGGGTGGAACAGTACAGCCAAAGTGTATTCTTGCAAATATTTTCAATTTTTTTTGTTTTCAGATTAGATGTGTGGCTTGGGCAGCAAATCAATCAGTAAGTGCATATAGGAAGGAATCTGTTTGTTATGTGAGTGTCAGTACATGGACACGCAGGTGCATGCAAGGGTCCAGCTTGGAGATGAAGAAGAAAGGGGTGCAGAGAAAATAAGACATTAACATGAACTGATTGGGAGATGTTTTTCTTCTTCTTTTCTTCCCATAGGAAACCCTCAAGTGTTTTTCACATACAGTCTATGGTTTTTCAGCAGTAAGGGCCTCAGATGAAAAAAAGAAAAACATGCTGTACACGTGCCACAATGAAAACAGAGTTTGTATCATATCTTTCCATGCATTTTGCAACGAAAATGTAAAGTTTTTCAAAAGCCCTTCACTCCGTTTCCCTGATAACCCTGAGGGTTTTCTAATACCTGGAACAATCATTACCCTCGCATAAGGTTCTTATGCAATGGAAATGTTGTTCACGGCTCCAGTAAATAGGACGGACCTTAGATGCGACTTGGCAACAGGAGATATTTCTAGTCTGCTCACCTCACTGAACGCTTTTGCTAAAGTACTGCTAGCAAGATTCAAAATTATAAATATAGTTTGACAGTGTGTTTAGCAAAAGGACTTGCTAGCTATCCAGCCATGTCATTGTCCCCAAATCAATATGAACAAATGAGAGGCCATGTGTACTGTCGGCCGCAGCCTGGAGTAGCGAGTTGCATAACGAATTCAGATTTGAGAGACGATTTTTTATGTGTCACGTCCAGAGGGGCAGTGTAACCAAAGAGTGTAAGTTCTTTGGCTGTACTGCAAAAGTTTGTTACGACGGGCCCCAGTGCTCGCTACTTAACTTCTAGTTTTGAAGCACACACACCATCGTATTGTCTCGTCACAAGATCAAATAGAGACTTGACATTGGACATCTACATACACATCTACATCGTTTTTTTTTTGTTGATTTATAGTTTATGTAGAATAAGCACACACAAAAAAACATGACAGATGGGTTTATATTTTCGAGAGATTATATATATCAAAACTCCTATAAAGACAGTGTCCTGAGTGGGCAAAATGAATCACTTGTAAGAGACTTGTAAGTAAGGGTGTCTATTTTTACACCCCTGACTGTAAGTAATGAGCAGTCTTCACCCTGTAATGGTGTTATAATTACAGCTAAAGATCTATGTCAGGGTCAGTGAACAAAAGTGTCACATGGTGTGAGGCTGTGAGAAACAAGCTGAGCTAAATAAGATGTGTGATCACATCTCAGCCACAGGGAAAGAACAAACACAGCTTTCAGCTGACTCACCGCAGGAAACAGACAACAGGCTATTGATCCAGTTGAAACACTGAAACACACTTTTCCCTCGTTAATGCATACTACAGTGTTTTCCATCACCATTTAATGTTCATGTCTCAGGATTGTTTATTTGTGCACTTCTGACAAGAAATGATCAAGCAGTTAATATGGCAAATATTTTCTGTTATTTAGATATATTGTAGATGTGCATACAAACTGTTATTGTACAAGAAACAAAACGAATCAGTTTCTAAGAATTTAGTGACATCACAATTACTAAGATGGTTACAGATTTACATTACAAATAACAACTTACATGTTATTATTGGCAGAGAGGAATTCATTCAAATTGGGTCCATGAAGCAATAACATGGAGGTGATCTCCGGGGCTTCAGATGGAGATTGGTATCTCTGTCAGGAATTATGGAGGTGTTTTCTTTTCATAAATGGATGAGCATACTGCAACCCCAAAAACAAATATATATTTATGAGAGCAGTTCAGAATATGTGTTGCTTCTAAAATGAGCAATCTCATATGAGTGCAATCTCCATATGTCTAGCTTGAAGAAGAAAAAGAATGTGTACAGTAATTTCATGTATTTCAAAACTGTTCTTTGCCTTCCCCGATAGTGTACGCAGCAGTGATTTAGAATCATCGCCCTGATTGTTTCCAGAGGACGCAGAGAAGCAGGTTCTGGGGAAAAAACTGACAAAGCCTGTCAACATAAAGCCTTCAAATAGGATTAATATTAACAGGATGAAAAAGGGGGGAATAAAAGGATGAAAAAGCAACTTTAAATGTTTGTTCGAGGCAGGTTGTGAAATAGCACGAACAAAGTCTCAATTTTGTCTTGGGATGCCAAACAATGGCCTCACTGCAGTGATGATCGAAGTCCAGCGCAGCAGCTCAAGTCTCTTCCTTCTATTCCAGTAGCGTATGGGTGTTTGATGTAATCTCTGCGCAGCTTCGTCGGGCAGGGTGTCGGGGCTTCAGGTCAGACGTTCAGTCGATGTATTGAAGCTTGAAAAAGGCCAAAGCTTCGTTCGGAAATCAAAAGCCCGATGCTTCACCTGAGCCCCGCCGCCAGCTTCTCCATGGCAGCACTGCGCTCTTCCGCTTTCTGCTGCGAACGGTGCAAGATGTTCCTCAGCTCCTGGAGATGGTCCAGCGTGCCCACCAGCTCGCCCTTCACTGTCTTCATCTGGCTCTCCAGCATCTGTGTGTGATGGAGGGAGTTCCTCCTGTGTCGTCTGCTGGAGCGAACTCTTTCCTCCAGGTCCTCCACTGCAACAAGCGACCGGAAAAGAAACAGTCACTCACCACAACCACCAGTAAAAGTATGAAGGATAATGTGAAGTTAGTGTTTCCTTTGTGATACAGACCCATGTTCTCCTGGTAGGTCATGCTCTCTGAACCAGACTCCGTCTTCTTGTCCAAAAGGTTCTTGGTCTGCTGCAGCATCTTCTCCATCTTGACAAGTTCGGCTGCCTTGGTGTCGCTGTCGCGACGGATTTTTAGTAACTCCCGCTCCCTCTGAGTGAGCTCGCCGTGAAACTTATTCATGTCGAGTTTTAGAAATCAAAACGGGACGATGAGGTTAACAATACGACTGAGTGATGTGCGATACAACAGCCGGCAACCTCAGTGAGCATAAGACACAAGGATGACGCCTCTGAACCCGATTTCAACATCCAATCATGCTGCAACTCATGAAACGCCGGTTTTGTTTGCAAATGAACTGCACAGCGGGTGATATTTAGCTTTTTTATAGCTTTTTGTAACCTCGGCACATGTCTGGAAGTCATCTGGAAACAGCCGGTTCTCAGTACACACCATTACAATTGACAAGTCATAAGACTAGCTCCAAGCAAAACGGATCATTTTACACTGACTCACTGGTAACAAAGCTCCCCTTACTAATGAGACATGGAGGAATGAGGTTCAAAACAACTTGAAAACATGAGCTGGACAGTATGCCGCCTGTGGGCTGTTCTCAACAGTATACTGGTGATACCTTTATCTAAATGAAAGATATCAAATACAAAGTAAACTTCATCTTTCAAAGTAAACAAAAACACACTAAATAGCCATGCTTTCTCTATTTTTGATCATGTTCCAAGAAACATTAACGGCAGCTTTAGAGCAGTGTGTTAACAACTATGAATTGTGTTACACAGTATATGTGAAAGGAGTCAGGCAGGCTGTGAACGATCTTCACTTTAGTCAGGCTTTTTCCCACATGCCATGCAAATGTGACTGTGTCCAAAGGCTAGCATGCAACATTTGTGTATGTATTTGCTCACACAAATATAATCCCTCTCAATCATCATGACCCACTAAACGTGTGTGTGGTGGTGTCGGTATCCCTCTGCCTGTATTTTCTTTGTGCTTCTTCTTTTGTTCGGGACGTTTCTGTACAGAAGGCAGACGGGCCACAGCAGGATGAAGAGTGCCTTGGGCCGCATTCATTCCAAATCCGGCACCTTCCCGCAGGTTTGTGAGGAGGTGTGGATGTATTTATTGGTGCTTTAGAACGTATAACCGCTTTGTTCTCGCTAACATTGGTCCCTCTCTTCAATCACCCTCAAGCTTGAGCTACCACAGCTCTCTCTCTCTCTCTCTCTCTCGCTCCCTCTCTCTCTCTCTCTCTCTCTCTCTCTCTCTCTCTCTCTCTCTCTC